GTGCGCGAACAAGGTACGTTAATAACTACATTCAGTTCTTGCCTTCCTCGGAATTTGCCTTTGTGAAAGGGTATAGGGTATGTGACAAGAGAATCGTAATTCACCGCGCTGGTGGCGTCGCGTGCGACGTCGCGCCCGCAAATGACGATGGTTCCAGGTAGTAGATGGCGACAACAGGCAATTCAGAACCGAAAATAGTCATGAATGTCTACGATGACGGGGTCTACATGAAGTCCGGTGCTCCAATCGACAGGTTAACACGAGTTAAGAAAACGCCGCGCCCATCGCCGCGCGCGGCGGAGCGGCAAATTACGATTCTCTTGCCCGTCTCCCTTTGTTAATAATAAAATTTCAATAAGATTCTACATGGTATTTTGAATGCCAGAATCCTTAATACACTTTTCTTATCCAAGTTTAGAGGGGTGTTAAGTTGTTATTACGGGCGCACTCGGGCATAATTAGGGGCATTTGCTGGTTCCCATGCTGATGCCTTCTATGGGGTACTTGTAAATTCCTTTTAAACCATACAGTAGCATGGGCACCGCACACACTTTACAGAAGTCTACAGATCCTATCATGGAGACACATGTGATTAGACAGGAACTAGTAAAAGAAACTAGTGAATGTGCGGAGTTCCACTTCCTCTGAGCCGAACAGCACCACGTTTCTTTGAATATGTCTTTGTGCTTGTTATTTCGTTCGTCATAATATCAACAAACTTTATAGAAGTTCTGGAAAGATGACGCATGCAAGACATTGGCCGTGAGTGGTGCGAAGACTCGGAAAGTTTTACGAACGAAGCAAGCAAGACGAGCTGGCGACTTTTTGGTAAGATCTCGTCCAACTTTTCTTATTTTCTTATTTTCTTTTCACCGGAATATTGAGTTGCGGTGGTTCAGCGTTTTTGCACAAGAGTCAGAGGCAGGTCACAAACTTTATTATATCAACAGAAGTCGGGTTTTTGTACGCGTCTTTAGCAGTTTTTGATATCATCGATAAGGTTGTCGTCTTTGTGATATCGCATGTAAAAGAATTGGCGTCTATTTATTGGCGCTAGCAAAACATAACAAGTAACAGGGGATGGCATAATGGGCCCTGTTCGACTTCTAGGGGAATGGAAGCATTTTTCAGTTTTGCTACTTCCTGTAAATGGCAGTGATCGATGGAAATCGGCAGAAGTACCCCCGCCGCCGAACTGCACCCAGTTGTGATCAGGGCGCGTCCAGCTGCTTGTGAAAATTCTGTGGAACACGATTCCCTTCAAAACCTCCCCATCTCGTGGACCTTCTTCCCCATCCTTTTCCTACCATTTCCCTAATTTCTCCTAAATTTCTAGAACCTTTTTTTCAAAAAGCTGCCGTTGGGCGAAAAAAGGGGGTATACAGCTCAATTGAAATAGGAAAGGCCGAGAAAAGCCAACAATCGAGAACATTTTTCTCCAAGTCTCCGACCTCATTCTATTAGCGATCAAAAACGACCCTGCCCTCGCGGAGAATCCCCAAGACGTGTCCTGATTATCATATATTTTTATGATAGGATTCTTGGTGTCTATGTGCTTAGATAGAGGGAGGTTGCGAAGAAAGTGAATCAAGATAATTGAGGTCTTCGGCGCCCTCCATCCTTCCTTTCTCTCCTCTTCCTACCAATAGATGCTCCTTCGAAAGATGCGATGAGAGAATACCTTCGAATCCTGGCACTAGGAGCATGTCTGGCTGACAAGAACCCTGTGGCCCTCCTCCTTCCAACCAAATAGACTCGACTTTTTAGTGGTATGTTATACATTGTTCACTGTTCTGATATTTGTATGTTACAGTGTGAATTTGCCGGTGAAGTGGTACGGTACGAAGATGCGAAGAAACGCTGGGAGACATATTCGAAGACGGAAACGTCGCCTGTGATTCTGTGTCTGACGTCACGTCTCTTCGTTGACGCTACCATTCGTGGAAATGTCTCTCGTTATGTACGACAGTCGTGCCGACCTAATGCAAGGCTGGAAGTTTGGTGAGTTCTGACAAGAGGGACTATCATGTTTTCATGTACTTGTCTACGTTTTTTTTGTGAAAAATTTTTTTCATTTTATGAAGTCACGTTTGTAGTGTTGAATGTTTAGGTCAGTGAACGGAAACTACCGAGCTGGCTTGTTCTCACTAGGTGAGATCACGTCAGGAAGCAAACATAACCCAGTTGATATGAAGGCTTCGTTGACCGCGTGAGCGAAACTGCCCTCTGTGCGTCTCGATCGATTTCGCAAACGGCTTGTCATGGCCGCGCAAAGCACCGGTGAGGCTTTTGATTTGTTATTTTTTTGTTTCTCTTTATATTCATTTCTCTCTTTGTACTATTAACAACAAATGTTTTGTCTGAAGTGTCTTGTTTGCAGCCGATTGCTTCTGCAAGTGATCTGTCAATCAACGAAGAACGTGTCGTTCGCAAAAATCACTTGTTTTGAATTCTCCAACGCGGCCCAGAGCGCAATATCTGAGCAGGCGCTCCACTGGTGAGTACACTTCTGGCATTATAACAGCTAGAGTATTTCAAGGGTTTTTCGTTAATTGCCCACGTAAAGTAATAGTAGCGTAAATTAAGCAAATATGAATTCGTTAGTATTGCTATGCCTCTTGAGGTTTTTAGGTGGAATCTTTATTCAACGGCCTAACGTTTCGACAGGGTCGTCTTCTTCAGAGGCCTAAACGTGTTTCGAGTTAAGGAGATTGAACACTACCCTCAAGCGCGCAAACGCAACCCTAGCAGTTCCGATGACGTGTTCGGAACTCTACAAGGAAATTCTACACAATACGAAATGCGCACTCACCAGAACTCCACCGTGAATCCGCGTCACATGCGGATGTTAGCGGCAGTAGAAACTGGCATTCTATTTGGTAGATCACACCTAATTTTGTGCAATCCCCCAATCTGCCATGCGGACAAATGACACAATCTCTCGATATGCACTGTTGATCGTAGAGCCTGTTTCGAACTAGTTGCTGCTTGATGTTGCTGTGATTGGCAGATTGGGGATTGCACAAAATTAGGTGTGATCTACCAGATAGAATGCCAGACATGTGGATCCACATATATCGGAGAGACAGGAAGACCGCTAGGTGTTCGAACTTAACGAACCTCACTGGTATGAGGCGCAGTAGGTCCACGACAGCGCTGGGCAGGCATAGAACTGAGGAGCACAACGGCAACAACTTCGAAATTAAGTGCACAATATTGGCGCAGGAGACGGACAATCGCAGAAGCGTCTGAGGCGTTCTGGATGCCCGGTAGAAATCCTAGAAATCCTAGGATGAACAACCGAGATGAGCGTCCGTCAATAACCAATGAACTTTCGCCGTTTATACCGTACTGCGAGTTATAGTAGCCGGTGATACGTGCGTCTCCTCAACCTTATACGTGTAAGGAGACGCTAGAGTAAGTCTCATTTTCTACTGACTAACATCCGCATGTGACGCGGATTCACGGTGGAGTTCTGGTGAGTGCGCATTTCGTATTGTGTAGAATTTCCTTGTAGAGTTCCGAACACGTCATCGGAACTGCTAGGGTTGGTTGGGCGCTTG